TATAGTACAGGTTTTGGGTAAGTTATGATTTTCAGGTACTTGGACCCCTAGAGATAGGGTGATATTGGGCTTAGGCATTAATGGGTTGTCACACATCACCAACTACAGGGTCACTCCCAAAAAGTCTAAGCCCAAACCGTAGTCTCCATACCGTAAATGGGGTTTCCCAAAAATTAAGGGTATCATTTTGGAGGTCCCAATAGTAAGGACTATGATATATTGGGGTCTATTTTGGGGTCCCCCTTTTTAAGGAAACTACCAAATCGTGTTCAGCCAGTTCTTGATATCCAGACGTCAAGCCTTCGATGCCTGGGGTCATCTCAGAACCAGTTATGGTTTAGGGTTCAGGTTTTAGGGTCCCATGGTGCTTGGCACAACGCTGTACGCTGGCTTCAGTACGGGAGGACATGTTTCTACCAGGAACTTGATTGGTAGGAAATGGCGGAATGGATCCTTATTGCGGGCCCTACATTCCCTGCATAATCCCAAATTAGATATAATGTCCCCTACAGCCCCTTCCCCCATTCCCGTGTGAGCACTGGAGAGACACCCAGCAAATAGCCCTGTCAAGTTAAAGAAGCACGAAGGCTGACGTCGGATGCTAAGAATTCAGTGCGGCAGCCCACCGGAATCTGTATCCTTAACCCCTAAACGGCGTGGCAAGTCAAAACATGTAAAAACTAAAATCTGCTCTCGCGAGTATGGGGCCTGCATTTAGTAGCCCACCCCTGGAGAGACCCAGTGGGCTCCTATGTGGACACTTTGGGCGCCATTTGGGTACCTGAACCTCTAGGGAAGAAGGGAATATACAATATGGGGATTATACAGGGATTAGGCTCCCTCGTTCCCTACTAACCTCCAGTAAGTTGAGGGTGACGAGGAATGGGATTAGCTCTCCCTAAACCCTAAACCCGAATTCCCTACCCTCCAGTCTACGGCCTGGGGCTTGTTAAACATCACCAAGCCAGCTCTCGCAGCCTCGCGCAGTAAGAGATAGGTCCATAAGGGTTATATTGGGTTTATATAGGGGGTAAATTATAGGGATACACAGGGGTTATATAGGGGGTTATATAGGGGCCATAATGAGGATAGCTGTGGGTTAGTGTAGATGATAGGCCTCTTGCCTTTTTATAGGTATGTGAACTAAGACTTGCTAAATGCACCAGACCCTCCAGGTGGGGTCTCCAGGGCTCTCCTGGACTGGGATCGGCTTTGTCTGTGTCTACTGCTACTGCCGCTTCTGGTCTTCCTACTCCTGCCACTGCCACTACGTCTGCTGTTGCTGCTACCATCACCATGGCTAGTACTGCAGTTGTTTTGTTAGGAATCACAAGCGGGGTCTGTAAGACGGACTGATACAGAAGAAGGACCTATACAGGGACAGGGGCTTCCAAAAAACGGAGACCCCTTCTGCTAGTCACTAGTCCCTACTACGTTTTTGAGCCCCCGCCCCCGCCAAATACTGTAGCAGGGGACCTTGTTCAGCAACAGACACCGCCCGATAATACAATTGTCTACTCTGGGTTGTAATGCTGGGAATTTTCATATGAGCTACTGTCTAAACTCTTAGTATCCCCCTTAATATCCCCTATGGTAGTCCCCTTTATAATCCCCTGTATAACCGCCCTTTAAGGAGTTTAGACTATAGCTCATATTGCAAGTGTAGGTTCGCAGGGTTGCCTTCGCACTTGGCAACTTGTGGGTGCTGCTTATGGTGCGTTTTGCCGTGAGGACGCCCAGAAAAGCATTTATACCATACACCCACAAATTGAGGAAACACTGATATATAGTTCTTCTACACCTACACCCTAAACCCTAGGGCTGTTTCGAAGACTTTTGGGTAAAGAAGAATGTCCCATGCTTTTGCAAAAGCCTCATCTTCAAGCTATAGCCTCCTTTTGATTAATATTACTGTTATCACCTTATTATTTGTATTACCATGATTATATTCCTATTACTGCCTTGAAAAAACGCCTCAGCGTCCGCCAACAAGGACCCCTGGAAGGATGTAGCAAAACGATCCTCTACATAAACCTATAATACCCAATAAACCATCCGCATACATCCCCAATTTCTTTCCAGGGGATTTAACTTTTAGATCCCTATACGTATCTGGGACCATAAGCTGGAAACCATAAAACTTCAACCCAGACCACCCCATTCTAAACCCTAAATTCTGCACTCGAAGCCCTCCAGCCTAAGCCAACCAACCCTAAAACCCTACAACCTCCTACCCTAAACCCCTAAACCCTAGACCCTAAATTCTAAAACCCTAAAACCATCAACCTTAAAAATCTAAACCCTAAACCATGATTGCAGTTCCCGGATGCCTTGTTCTTGGCGTCGCCGCACGAGAAGTCCAAGTCTTGACAGCAGTCCTGGCTCTCCCAAGGGGTCCAAAGGTTTAGGGTTTAGGTGTGTAGGGGTTTAGGGTTTTAGGGTTTGGGGTTCTAGGTTTAGGGGTTTAGGGTTTTTGGGTTTGGGGTTTTAGGGGTTTGAGGTTTTGGGTTGAGGACTTAGGGTTGAGGGCCCACACCAGGGGGCCAAAAGTTTTGAGCTACTTGGCCTTTCAGTGTATGTGCTAGCGTACCAATCATACCAAGATCTTGCAGTGTAGCGGAGGTCCCACGTACAATTTTCGCCGGCCCTGCTAGTGGAGTGATTAATCCGCTGTTAAACCCTAAACCCTATTCCCTAAACCCTAAACCCTATTCCCTAAACCCTAAACCCTTGTCTTAGTTCCGGCAGAGGCCCCAACTCCCAAAGTTAGAAGTTTAGATGGAAGTTTACTGGGGAAAGGGAGCTTGGAGGTCCATGGTACTTATAACCTACTTAGTAACTGTAGTTATAACCCTATTATATATAGGGTAACTGTAGTTATGGGGCTTATAATTATGTATAATTATTATGTTATAACTACAGTTACTAAGTAGGTTATAAGTACAATGGACCTCCAAGAGGTTGCGTCCGTGACTGCGCTGGACAAGTTTTTTGCAGCTTGAGAGTGGGGCGAACTTTTGGCCCGGCGCGGTAGGGCTTAGGTTTTAGGATGCAAGATGTAGGGTCGAGGATTTAAGGTCAAGAGTCTTGGATTTAGGATTTGGGGTTTATGGTTTGGGGTTCCAAGCTTATATGGCTGGCTGGTATAAAAATATCTTCGGGAGATTCATGAAGTATCTGGGAATCAGGTAATGGGATGCGTAGTATAGGGGTTTTGAGCAAATATGTAACTACTGGGTACTTAGACCCTTAGCATGTCTTGTAGAAATTACCAACTAGGGTGTAGAATATGGCATCCAAACAAGAATGTGCTTCCCTTTCCCTAAACCCTAAACCCTATGATTCAGTCCAGGGAAGTATAGTCCTTCAGGGTGGGCACCCCATCCGTGGAACAAATGTATGAAAACCTCATTGAGGATTAAGGCCTCATCCTAGGGTTCAGGGTTTAGGGTTCTAGGGAATCCAAATTGTCCAATATTGGTAAGATTTCCTGACTGTAGTATGCTGAACGCAAGGGCTTTTTGGCTTTTGAATCTTAAGCTCTCGGGTTCCCAAGTACCCAGATAGAATAAGCCCAGGCCCCAAAATATTTATACCATTGGATTCAAATCGCACGGAGAAGTTAACGCCTACAGACAGATAGGCGCAAGATGGGTTTCTTATACACTTAGACTTATAGACGTAGAGAGGGAGAGATAAGAGCAAAGAAGAAGAACGCGTTCCTAGCCTTGTTGGTAAAGAGACGAAAGAGGGATACAAACACTGCTTGCTAGGCTTGTGGGTTTGAGCTGTCCAATTTACCTTTCCAACTCACAATTTCAGGGATCTACCCGGTGAAGGCACGTGACGTACCCTTAAACAGTGGGTTCCTTAGGGTCCACGAAGGCACATCTTATTTATAGATACATGTGTATATATACATATATATACACATATCCCTAAGCCCTAAACAATATATACATATACATATAAAATAGATGAAGGAATAGATATAGATATATATATATATACAGATATACACACATTTTCGGCCAAGAGAGGTTCCCATGTAAGTATATTCTATGTAGCTACAGGAACCCGTTTGTAGTGCATGGACCGCCAACGTGGGGAAGCAGTATTCTGAGCTTCATGACGGTTGAGAACTTCGAGTGTCAGGGTGTAGGGTTCAGGGTTTTGGGTCTTGGGGCAATTGCAGCAAGTGGCGGCCGCGCCCCGGACAAAAAATCCGAGCCGTCGAACGACATATGAACTGTAGTCTAAGCTACTGAAAGGGAGGCTTTACAGGGGATTATATGGGGCACCATTTTGGGGCTTATCAACAAGGATACTTGGAGTTTAGACTTTGGCTCAGTTATCCGCGGATGCCATTATGAAAGACGATCATCCACTGGAAGTAGGTATTGCTCAGCAAGAAGCTGTCACCGTCATGGTACAGGCATCGTTCCCAAGGCACAGGTATCGCATGCTTTGCAGAGGTAATGAGAACCCTTTGTGGTATGTACAAGGCCCTCAACCCCAAACCATCTCTACCAAGCACTACCTGGTGTTTAGTCAGAGTTGAAGGGCGGGAATCCGCTTGGTAGTTCGTTCCTATACAATATTTATATATATGTATCTATCTATATATATATATGTAATTCAGTTAGGCAGCCCCCTACAACTTTAGCCTATACCCCCCCAATTCCCTGCCAAGCACTAACGAGAGTATCTAGGCCACCCTGGCGCATGCATTCCTGCTGGCCTTGCCAGCTGCGAAGTACTGCACGGTGAAAGTTCCTTGCGATGGAGAAGCTTTCCCAGTCACTACGAGGGTTTGAGAACAAATGCACATATGTGGATAAAGGCATAAAACGTGGTGAATATTCGGGGATACATGGGAAGTGTATATGAGCTCATAGGTCAAGCGATTAGGGGTTCAGGGCTTGCAGTGTGAAGTGTAGAGGTGCACATATAAAGAAGCTAGGCCCCATGGCAACGCACGACAATGTCAAAGAGCTTCTACTTGGAGACTGGTGCTAATGGACTGGTTACTTCGGAATTGTAGCTTTGACCGGGTCGGGGTCAGGGTTTTGGGCAAAGTTTAGGGCCTGGAGTTTGGGGCTTAGGGTTTAGGGTTTAGGGTTGAGGGTTCAAAGGATCGCCAGGGCTTCATGAAGATTTGGATTATGCATCATGTTTGTGTTTTTGAGGAGAATGAGCTTCTCTTTTGCCTTCCAGGGATCGTCCTAGGGCTTGGTGTCATGTTAGTGTAATTGCAAGCACGGAACTTATGAATGATGTGCGTTAGCTGGTGGTACTAACTATCATTTTTAATGTTGCATCTAACTACACCACACCTCCATGAAACGAGCCCTCAACCCCTGAACCCTTAACCTGCAGATTCAGGTCCGGAGATTTCTGGATCTTCTTTTTAGTTTCATTGCAAACTGACAGCGGTGCCCCTTCCTATGGCCATCCCTTTCCGAAGGAGCGTGAGGGGTATGCTGATTTTGTGAAACCTAACAGGTCTGACAGCCCGCGATTCTAAGACCTCAACCCTAAAGGCGCCTGTGTACTCCTCGCGCGTGGCCATAACAGGCGCAACGCAATACTTCCTTAGCAGGACTGCATCACAAGAAGGATCCTGTTTTGTTGTATGTCTTGTGAAGCTTCTTCTTCTCCGAAACCCTAAACCCTAAACCCTAAACCGGGAGGGTGGTAATGGGGAATACCGTTTTCGAACAACGAAAACGATCCAGCTGGGGATCATGGCAATGCTCAATACCAACCTACCAGACCTCAACAAGAAGTACCCTTAACCAGGAAATAGACTGAATAATGGCGTGGCTATAACTCATGTGACATGTCATGACAATTATCCCTGTGATGAACAACTTATAGCTGCATGATCCCTGCTCAGATGGCCATAAGGCTGTTGAAATCTGTATTCAGTGAACCTGGACAAAATAATGTAAATCCTGTTTGGAGGGTCATTTGTA